ATTTGTTCTAGCTTGCGAGCTAACATCCTTTCCCCTTCCCATCTACTATTTCATTTCAGTTTTTTACCTCTTCTTCTCTATCCACGATTCCAGTCCCATCTATATCTTTCTTCTCTTTATTAATAAAAATTGTAAAGTGTTGTGTTCTAGTATTGTTATATTATATATATGTTTGTCTATGTTTATAGCAAGGAAGACTTTTAGTTTACAATCATAATCTAATTGTTTTGGTTGCACCAATTTGGTATTAGAGTCTAGGTCATGTGAGTTTTCCTTTTTTTTTTAAATAAAAAATAAATAAAATGGATAGTCCAATTAATCAAAAAGTCGAAGTTTCAAGTTATGATGTGAAGGAGACCCAAGATGAATTTGATCCTACAAATTTTGAAAGTCAACCTTCTTTTCCATTTATTTCGGATGAGAGAATTCCAACAAACAGATGAGTTTCGCCACTAGGATGTTCTATTGATTCACTTTAGAACGAACTTTGCAAAATAGAAGAGAAAATGTATTTTTGTGTCAAACAATATAAAAATAAGAAGCTTCAACTTTTGTCTTAATTTGAGTAAGAAAAGGAGATCATTCAAAGAAAGTACGATGCATTAATTCAGAAAACGGAAATGCCGCATCTTCAAAATTTTGAGACGATATCATCAGGAGATGAGAATTCTCCACTAAGGGAGAATTGATGCAATCAAGGTGCTGTGTGCTGTTTGGAATTCCTAAAATACTGTTTTGAATTCCCTATGCGTTGTATGTGTTGTTTGAAATTTCCAAACAGTTTGTTTAAACTTCTCTAGGCTGATTTTCGGTTTATGTGTTCATTGGTTGTTGTGTTTTCCCCTTGGCAACTATCCATTCGGTTTGGGTTGTTGTCCCTTTGGTTTATGTGTCCATTAGCTATTATTTTGATGCTTCATTTTCCCTTAGCTGTTGTCCCTTCGATCCCTGTTTGCTGCAGATTTTGAGGAGTTTATAATGGCTGTTTGAGTGGTACTTCAACTCCATGCATTAATTGTTTTTCCCTTTTTTTTCTCCCCTATAAATGGGGCTATTTTGTGATAGTTTTAGAGGTATGTAATGATTTTGGAATGTAAAATCTGCGGATTTATTCTAGCTTTCGAGCTAGCCTCCTTTCCCCTTCCCCTATACTATTTCGTCTCGATTTTCTACCTCTTCTTTTCTATCCACAGTTCCCGCCCCATCTGTATCTTTCTTCTTTTAATTAATATAAGTTGTAAGGTATTATATTCTAGTATTGTTATATTATATATGTATTTATCCATGTTTATGGTAAGGAAGACTTTTAGTTTGCAATCATAATATAAATTTTTTGGTTGCACAACTAGCGCTATGTTTATCATTATTAAGGAGTATATAATTTGCAAAGAAATATAACCTTTGAAACTAAATTTGTATTTCAAGCTTCCTCACATGATGCAACCAAAATTATAGGAAACTAAGATTGCATATAAAATTGACTTGTCTTCCTTTCAAAATAATTTTATCAAACACAACAATAAAATAAGACAAAACAATACTTATATTGGAACGGGCAACACATATAACTCACACGACAAACACATTCTTATAACATAAACCACCTACATAAATAGAGCCGAGGAGGGCATTATATGTAACCTCTTATATAAAGATTGTACATAAGAGTGATGTAAAATTAACAAGGAATAAGTGAAAGTTATATAAGAGCATAAAAGATTTGACTATGAATGGTTGAAAAATATCCATTGGGGAAGACACACAAGCCCATATATAGATCCATATGCCATTGATCAATTTCGCCTCATCGATTTGGAGTAGCTATCAAACATCAAAATTTGGTTATCAAGAATAGTTGATAACTCCAATGAGAGAGACTTATGAGTGGACACTAGAGATCCAGTGTGATTTTAACAGTTAAATATACTAATAATATTATTAGATTGTATGTTGAAAAATATTATATTTTAATAAAAGTATCACAAATGAATTCTTAACGCTGATATTAAATTTTTTTCCATACTATATTGATTATTTATATTACCTAATAAGGGAGCGAATATGGGGCAACCCAAAGTTCAATTTTTAAATATAGCGATTATGACGTGTATGCAATACAATACACCATATATCTAATTTTAAAAAAGAATCTTCTAGAAGGTACATATGATCAAATCTACTTTTATTGGGATAATTTATGTATTTATTTATTTAACAAAAATGTTGATCCATAGGTTCAATTGAACATCATATTCATTATTTCTTTGCATAGATTGTGTTTTGGATATTATAGCTCTTCAATTGAATGATGAATTTGTTGTATTGCATTTGTTACATAGTTGCTAAATCTGTCATAGTCTGATGTGTTGTGTTTACTGTGTGATTATTATATTATGGTGTTGTGTTATAATCCTTGTTCGACTCTTATGTGAATATTATTCAAACACCCTTCATTCCTTTTTTAATCCATCTTCAATCCTAATCCTTGGAGCCTTCTTTGAACATTTTTCAATCGTATGCCTTATGCTTTATGATTCAAAATTTCTTCGAACCTTATTCTAAGTTTATTCAAATCAATGATGGTCACAAAAGATTATTTTATAAGTACACCGCGCTTCAAAAGTAGTGGTTATATTGCTTCAAAAGACACTTTTAAGGATAAAAGAAATCAAATAACAAGCATATTTCTCCAATTTTAAATATTATAGACAGGATACGAAACGAGTATATCCGTGAAAAGGTTGTAGTAGCTCCAGTGATTGATAAGATTAGAGAGAGTCGCCTTAATTAGATGGTTTGGGCATGCAAAACGGCGGCCTTCCAATGACCATGTTAGGAGAGTAGACATATTAGATTTGACCTATGTTAAGAAAGGTAGAGATAGATCTAAAAAGACTTGGTTAGTAAATATTAGAAATGACATTTCTTCATTAGATTTAAATGAGAATTTGATTAATAACATAACACAATAGAGAAAAAAGATTCATATAGCCAATCTCACGCAGTAGGATAAAGGCTTGATGTTGTTGTAGTTGTATAAGGCACATAAAATTTAATTTCCTTTTATAAAACTAACATTTAGTTTTCTAGCTTCATTTGCAATAGATTATGCAAGCTTAAAAAAGAAGATCAACTCTTTTTTTTTTAAATTAAAATTTCAAATAATTATTCATTGAATAGTATTTTATAAATAATATATTTAGATAATATAATTATAAATTTTCATTAAAGGTATTATGTATAGCCTAATAGGCTGAATGAATACTCATAACTTAATACAGACATCTCCCCATCTACTTTGTAAAATTTTAACATTAGTTGAGGTTTCTTTCAGGTTTTTATTGAAAATTAAATAGTTTTAGAAAATATCTTATTTGAGCATTAAATAAGGAAAAAAAAAAAGAAATAATTTCCTCTATTTGAAAGATTTTATTTTGCTCTCAGAAAATGAAGTGCATGAATTTCATATCAGTCAAATTATTCTTATTTTAGTAAAAAATATAATCTGATTTATCAGTAGATGATATATATTACATTAATTATAGTTTTTTTCTCTTAAAATTAGAGAATAATGTTTAAATGGATGTAATAAATGTAAAGTTTTAGAAATTTATATATTTTATAAATAGATTATAATTGAAATGTATGCATTTTAAAATTAATATATAATTCAAATTTATTGATTTTTTTATTTGTTATTATGCATTAAAATATGGTGAATAATGACGAGTGGTGACTGATGATTATCATGGGTGGTGACAATAGGCAATGGCGATCGGTGGATAGGGGTGTCAATTTTAGGTCACGAGTCAGGTTCAGGTCGAACCCGAAATTTACTCGGCACTATTCACGCGGAATGCTGGAACTGACGCGGGGGCAGCTGGGGCGGGGTCCTTCGGGCAGACTTTTATGTGTTATTCCAGGTTAGTTCGGGTCATTCCCAGGTTTCCGGGTCAACCTGAACCCGACCCGTTTTGGGTTCGGGTCGGATTTTCGGGTCGGATCCATTATTGACAGGTCTATCGGTGGACGGTGGTGATCGTGAATGAGGAAAAATGTGTTCATAGGCTAATAGATGAATTCTAAAGTTAATTCTCAAAAATTCAAAATTCCTTTTAGAAATGCTTTATGTTTAGTTTACTTTGGTTGGAGAGTTTTTGGGTTCGCTGCACTTTGAATGTTAAGGGTGTTGTAAATCTAAAGTATTTTTTGGAGAAATTTGAAGCCTGTGTCAGCTCTTTTGTTTTTTTTGAAATTGCTTGAATTACTAATTTTGAATACATCGTGACCCATCCCAACAAGCTCGTGGTAGTATCATCTTTCCCTTCACAATTCACATTGTCAATCCTCTTGTAGTTCCCTTACTGATCTCATCACAATTTTTCCCTCAAATCTCATCATGATATCTTCCACTCCTCACATTTCATTAATCTAGTTAAAAATTTTTCCTCCCACGCCGCGACGTATTGATATTCTCCAATTTTGACGACAAAGATGTCGCAGCGATGTTAGGATTATATACTACAGGAAAATGTCATATTATCGGCGGTATATACGTCGGTAAGTTAATGGCGGTAATTCCGCCGGAACGATCGCCTTAAAATTATCAGTGTATTTGCCTCCGGTACGCCCGCCACTTTTTTCGACGTATATATTGCCGTTGAAAAGTTCGACGGTAATATCAAAGTTTCCTATAGTGATACTTGTGAGACCAACTAACCCTACTTCTGTTATGTCCTTATTTTTTAGTATGGCTTGTGTTTGTTTTTTTTTATTTTTTTTAAATTTAATTTAGTTTTCAGTAATTCAGATTAAATATATAAGCACATGTTCCTTAAATTTAAATTCTAAAAAAAAATAGAATTAAAATTAAAAAAAAAATATCAAAGTCCTTGCATTACTTATATTTTTGAGCAATAAACATGGGCATACTATTTATTTTAAATGTCCTTGATTTTTTTCTTGTTATTTATTTTTTTTGGTTTCCCGAACTTAAAAAAAAAAAAAAAACCAAAGCATCCAAAACAACCTGGCCAACGCAACAATTTTCCTATGTCCGTGCCCTAACCTGCGCCCTCTGCTTTCCTGCACCCGTGCCTACTCCTCTCAGTGTCAAGTAGAGATCAAGGCCGTCAACTAGCCCCGTCGCCCGTCCGCCTCTTCTCCTTTGCATGCAGAGGACAAGTCCAGCCACCTTTCTCTTTGCCTCTCCTTCACACACAGAGACTTATAGCAAGGCCACTCGCCTTGCCTGATCCCATCGCCACCTCACCTGATAACGTCGCCGCCTCGCCTAATCCCGTTGTCGCATCTCCGGTTAGGAACACCTCTTCTTCTCTTTCCGCATTATTATACATTTATGCTGCAGTTTGCATAATTTTGAAACAATAAAATTTTATATACATATCAAATTTAGTTCAGATAAATTCCTCAATTCAGGTAGGACGCATATGGAGAGATTTTCTTAGGAAGATATGAAAATTAAATTTATTATTATGTTCAGATGATACAAAGAAAAGAAATGAGATACAAGTAGAAATAAAGTCTATGGATTCTAACGTCAAGTATGATGATTATACATGACTTTACAACAACATCAATCCTTTATCCCATTATGGGGGTCGGCTATATGAATCATTTTTCTCTATTGTGTTCTATTAAGAGTCAAATTCTTATTTAAATATAATAAAGAAATGTCATTTCTATTCTTTTCTAACTAAGTCTTTTTAGGTCTATCTCTACCTTTCTTAACAGAAGCCAATACATCTACACTGCTAATCGTGTCATTTAAAGGCCGCTGTTTTATGTGACCAAACTATCTAAGACGACTCTCCCTAATCTTATCTTCCATTGGAGTTACTCCAATCTTTTTATTAATATGCTCATTTCGTATCCTATCTCTAAAAGTAAAGCCACTCATCCACTTGAGAATCCTCATATTTACAACACTTAATAATATGCTTCACTTTTACTGACCAACATTTTGCACCATAAAATTTTGCAGGTCTCACCACCATATTATAGAATTATCCCTCAAGTAATTCGGGTGCATAAAGATGATAGAACTATCAATTTGATTGTGTTTTTGTTTAAGTAAAGAATTATCTTTTAAGGGCATGATGAATCTAATAAATAAAAAAAAATGAAAATTTTCTTGAGCTAATAAATTTTTTGGTTGAGCATAATGAAGATATATATAGTATTGTTTTAAATAATGCTCCAAATAATTTAAAATTAATGGTTACTAGCATTTAAAAAAAAACTAGACATTCATTGAATGCAATTGCAAGTTTTATAATAACTTAGAGGTGTTTTTTCCCTCAATTTTAGTTGTTGAATTTTATGATTTCTCCGCAAAATAGTAAATTACTATTGTGTTACGCAATATGAATGAAGATGGTTACATAATTGAGCGATTTTTTGGTATTGTGCATGTTCTAGAGATAATAATCAAGTGCCTTAAAGCGGAAAATGAACAATTATTCTCAACTAATGGCTTAAGTAGAATTCACTGATAAGGTTGTGCTGGAATTAGTAATATGAGAGGAGATTTTAATGGGTTAAGTGCTCTATTCATGAATGAAATTAAATTAGCACATTTTATTCACTATTTTGCACACCAATTTCAATCAACTTTAGCATCTATTGTAAAAATTCATATTCAATTTTACTTATTATTTACTGTAATTTTTAATATGTTGTTTCATGAAAATGTTGTGATGAACTTAGGGAAAAATGATGAGAGAAGATGTTAAATGCATTAGGAAATAGAGAGCTTTTCATAGGAGCTAATAATGAGAGGTTGTATGTGGCATGTTTGTCAACAAAGATAAATTAATCACAATGGTACACTTCTATCCAATTTTGCTTTAGTAAATCTAATGAGTTTTGGTAATTAGTTAAAAACTTATATTATGAATATGCAGTTTGATGCACAAATCTCATCTTGAAATGCAATCTTGTTGAGAAAATGACTAGGAGAAAAAACACCATCTTATATCCCCTTATTTTCAACCTTTTGAAACTGATATTATTTTTTCCTGTTGCTACAATAAGTGTTTAAATATCTTTTTGAATTTTTTAAAAATTATATTACAAAAAATCGACAACTAAATATAAATAAAGATTAATGGATGAATGACATTTTGGTCATTTAAACTTAAAAAGAAATATTGAATTGAATCAATGATAAAGTAATCATTAATAATTTTAAATTATAAATAATAGGCACTATTAATTATAAATTTTTTATCTTCATATATTTTACTTTTTACCCTAAAAAATTCTGTAGCCGACCCCACGTATTGGGATAAAGGCTCGATGTTGTTGTACACTAAAAAATTCTGAACAATTTTTTTTTTAAACCATGGAGTATTTTGTACGTTGTTTTGCCACTAGTGATATTTAAATAAACAAACACTTGTTCTCTACCCCTTAGTGTCACAGATTCGTGTTGTTCTTCAGTTCAAGCTGATTGGCCGATTAGAATCAATGACAATGAGGCGAGTCAGAGAGAAATTAAGCAGGAGAAGCTTATTGGGATAGCAAATCCCTCATCTTCAATACCCTCTTCTTATCCCATTCCTGGGATCAGGGTTTTAATGTGCTTATTTTATATCTTTTGTTTTTACGCGGCAGGCTTCGGATTGCGATGGACGGAGAGGAGCTAACGGCCCAACAGACGGCTTTATATGACCGACAAATCCGAGTATGGGGCGTCGATGCGCAGAAACGGTGACTTGTTTCTTCTTTCACCTTTTGTTTTCAAAATATTTGTACTGGTTTCTCTTTGATTTTAATATACAAAATATTTTTCTATAACTTTCTCCCTGCTGCTTTCTAATGTTAGGTTAAGCAAGGCCAATGTGCTGGTTAGTGGACTGAATGGGACACTTGCTGAGGTATAGAACTTCGACAAATTTACTTTATTTTGCTGAGATTGCCTATTATGCTTGTATCTGCATATCTGTCTTCTATTTCATGAGCGTTCCAACGTTTGGATATACAAACCTGTGCTTTCTTATTATCTACTATCTATTATGTAAAAGTATTTCGAAGGGATTTATCATCTGAATCGTGAGCTAAGTTTTTTTTGCATTCACAAGCACCCCATTATTTAGTTGTGTTTCCTGTCATACACCGTCAATTCAACAAAAGTTAACAAGGTCCGTGAGAAAATTCATGTAGACTTGTTTTCTTCCCAGCAAGTGAAAGGGCTTTTAATGATTTCGTTATAACACACGCTAGATGATAATATAAGATTAATAACATTAAGTGTGATCTGAAACCCAAGGATCAAGTAGCCAAGAGTTGGTTAAATTATCGGATGCTTGAATACAAGCTGGTAGGGAATTGTGGACTAGGTCGTGTAGATGAGTTAGCCAGAAGGATGAGGATTCCAGGAAATAAAATCTGAAATCTCAGATGTAGCACTTGAAGTTCTCTGCTTTTCATTGCATTAAATGGTCCTATTTATAATGTTAAAAAGGGATTCAAAATCATAACTAATTGGAAGTATGAATGAGAGAATATCTCCCTAAAATTCAAGAAAATTAAAACTTCTTTCTTATTTTCTTGGTAACCAACTCCCAAGTACAAAGATTGAATAAAACAAAAGCTTAAAAACCAAGAAATGGATTGGAGAAAAGATGAGAATAGTGATAAGTATTGAAATTCAAATAAAACTTCAGCCTTACATGGGTTGACCTATAGTTGTTGAGTAAAATGTGCTTTTGGTACAAGCTTGATAGGTGGAGTGATTGTTTATGAAGTAAAGTTGTTTGTTGGGGTGTGATTTAGAAAAAGACAATCCAGGAAAATGAATTTATTTTTGAATGATATTTCTTTCTTGGGGTAAATGATAACAAATTAGAAATTCTCTTCATTGAAGGTGGCATCAGCAGTGCATATACCTATTTTGTGGCAGGATGGTAGTACTTGTATTTTTATTTTTTTTGAGTGGAAGCCAATAAAAATACATTTAACTATTCTTGATCAAGTTTTGCTTTGTTTTGAAAATGTGCATGGTCCAAAGCAATATTTTCAAATATTTTGTGAATAAGATTATTTAAGGTGTTGAAGTAAGGGAAAAATTTGGCTAGGACTTGAGTTGGCCTTTTGTACCCAAAGGCCATTATATGCAATCGGTTTATGATGAGAAGATTGTTAAGACAACTTTATGCCAATGTTATTTTGGAAAGAAGAGAGCTCCTGTGATAACAAGTAGGTGGTTGTTCTTTAGTGCAGCCAACCCCCCTTTTGTTGGGGTATTTACGCACAAGAGGACTCATGTATTGTTTTTTTTTTCCCTTTAAAATGTGATGAGAGAGGATGATTAAAAAAGTTAATTGACATTATTAGATCTGACTCTTTTATTTTCTACATTGAGTTGTTTTTTTATCATGTTTAAATAAAGGTTGGGAAGATATATTTACGTCACTTTTGACTTTTGGTAGAAAAATGTAGTTGCCAATAAAAGAACAAACCATTGAACCCCATATATGTTAATGATGGTATGGCTAAGCCTGTGGGCCCCGCTAAGGTGGGCGGCAGGTAGGAAGAGCAAAAGGGATTAATTCCACTTTAATTACTTACCATGGATAACTAAAATTGGGAGGGAATTAGGAAAATTTATTTAGAGAAAGAGGACTGATTTGAATTCAAATTTGAGAGTGAAGTAGGAAGGTTTATATTAGGGTTCAATAGGTTGTTTTATTTTCATTATGTGAATTGTATTTGGCCGTAGTTTTATTTGGAGTTGTTCCTGGTGGTGCCTAGGGTTTGTGAAGAGTCGATCTACCTCTTGAATAGTATATCAACTTGTATCTTGGTTTGTTGTGCCAATTTAAAAAATTTTCTCGTTGATTTTTGTTGCATTTTATCTTTGTTATTGCTGTTTTTGCTCTGTGGAGATCATATTCCTATCAAATTGGTATTAGAGCACTTTTTTTGGGACCTATGGTGGTTAAGAAGTTTGATGCGTTGGAGGAGAGGCTTGATGGGGAAGTTGAAAATTTGAAATATGAATTTAAAAAGCGAGTTTTAGCAATTGAGGGTAGACTTTTAAATTTGGAAGAAATGATGAAAAATATATTAGGGTCTCAAGCCAAGATGACATCATTTGAGGCAAGGGCACCGTTGATCAGACAAGGAATTGGGGGAAACTCCAATATAAGGATGATGGAGGAGGATTAGAAGGTGGAAATTTGGAGTAAGAAGAGTAGATATCATGTTTGAGTCACTTCTAAGGAGGGGAATGGGTGAATGAGTGAGATTTTTGGTGGAGCTGCAATGTTTGGAAGGAGAAGAAGATGTTAAGAAGATAGAAGCACCAAACATGGTTCGACCACTCCTACAACAGTCGGGTGGTGTTCCAACCAATTTAGGGGTTGCCTCCTCCGCGGAACACGAACATGCTATCATCTTGAAGGAGTCTCACCTATCAATGTTCGTCTGCACTGTTATCCCCAAATCCAAGAGGATGAGATCGAGAGATTGATCAGGGAGATGCTGGAATTAAGAAAGTTTATTTAGGGAAAGAGGACTGATTTGAATTTAAACTTGGGTGGAAATTAGGAAATGTTTATTTAGAGAAATATAGCTTATTTGAATTCATATTTGGGAGGACAGTATGAAGGTTTGCATTAGGGTTAATTGGGTTATTTTATTTTCATTATGTGAGCTATGTTTGTCTGTAATTTTCTTTGGAGTTGTTTCTAGCGGCACCTAGGGTTTGTGGAGAGTCGATATACCTCTCGAATAGTAGATCAACTTTTATCTTAGTTTGTTGTGTCGATATAAAAATCTTTCTCGTTGATTTCAGTTACGTTTTGTCTTTGTTATTGCTATTTTTGCTGTGTAAAGATCCAATTCCTATCAGTTAAGTGTGGAAGATTGTTTATAAATGAGGATAAAACTTTGATTTATTGGGAATTTGGTATGTTATGTTTTATTAACTCACAATTATCATAATGAAATCCTTTAGTATTAATATTTTTGAATAATAAAGAAAAAATAGTTTTGAGTAATAAACGGAGGGAGGAGATGTCGATGTTGGATCCATATCTTTTTTTATTAAATTTAAAAGTTTCAGAAGGAAATATAATATAACAGGTAATTAGGAGTTTCCTTAGTCATTGGATTCCTCAAGGTGGTACAGACAATCTCTTTCCTTAATAAGTCCAAGTGTCATCCTTATGCCTGGTTTCTGAAATGCACATGTGAAGGATAAAATACGATACTTCATTTTGAGTATGCATTTAACTTTTAGATAACAAGTTGATGAATAATTTAGATAAGCGGAGGACATTTCAAAGTGCGAGGGATTTATTTGCAAGAATGTCTTCGTGGCCAGCAATGATCATCATTGATCTTATGTCAGTGGTTAATTTCTTGTTACTAGGATCAAAAGTATGTGAAATAAATTTATGTGAAAAGTTGGGCATATGGCCTATAGCTCCTGAATCAATAATCTATGAGCTGGGATTGAGTATCTCTTAGTTTTTCAAAGCAAGAGAAGAGAAGATGATACCTGGGAATTCAAGAGAACAAGTATGCATCTTATTAGTCTTTGCTTTTGATACTTGCAAAATTTTCAACTTTTCTGTATCTTATTTTTTGAACTCAATGTGTGATTCTTTATTGTTACCTTTTGCACGTGTTATATGTGCATGTCTATATTTTTTGCTTGCCCACCTAGTGTTGTTCAGCTTTTCCTTGGTGGTTTGCCATGAAGGTTCTAACATCTTTCCTTTGTATGCTGAGTATTATTGCAATATGTGTACCTTATTAATCTCTATTGGCCATCTTTGTTGGCTGTGGTTGTTTGTGCTCCTCAAAAGAAGAGAGTTTTGAAGTAAGGTGTTCAATTTTAGCAGCCTTCGGCATTAGGGCTGATCCTTCTATGAGGTTATTGACAATTATGATTCCCCTTCTCCCTTCTTTCATTCGAATGATGATAATGACCTCATTTAATAAAGGTAAATAATCTTTTTGGAGAATTTATACTCTTGCAGTATCATACTAAATATTTAATATAGCAAGTAAATCATAAATTTATCCTTTTTTAACAAAATATTAGGAGGTGAGCATCTTTGTTGTATTCTATTTTGATTCACAGATCATGATTCATTCTTGTCAAAGGTCTTGTAGTCGAATAGAGTATCTTGTGATAGATTATTCTTTTTGCTTTCTGGTCGAGATCTTGGTTTTGATCTCATAGATTTGGGGTGCATCATGATCTTTAAAATTTGTTTGATTTATTGTATCCCAAATTTCCTTTATTGAAGAAAGGTGCATGCAGTTTCCACTTATATTAGGAACCATGGAATTCCATAATCAAGATGTCATCATTGATTCCTATTCCTCCCAAGTATTGAATGTGGGATTGCCTTGTTGAGATCCAATTCTAAGTAAACGATCCAATTTTCCTCTTCCTTTTAAGAAAGTGTGAATTGATTGTGATCTTTTATGATAATTTTTTTCATTCAAATGATGTATTGAAGGGCTATTTTGTAAATTTCCTATTGGACTTGTGCTGTCTCTCTTGGTTCAAAATAAACAAAGACCAATTGTGATCCATCGGAAGTAAATGTGTTGGTACTTGGTTGCAAAGAGAAAGATGGATAGAGTAAGACTACAGTGATGAAGGTTATAAATCATAAGATTAGGTTGAACAAAAAGAGAATTGCGATAATGAATGCTTAAGTTCTAAGTAATACAATAATGAAGGATGTGGATTTTATAAATGCTAAGAAAAAAAGCCTAAGGCTCTAATACCATGATAATAATTTAAGAGAGTTGGCTGATTATTTCATTATAACATTTGTGTAATGTTTATACAATTTTAGGACTTTTTTTATAGGATATATACAAAATGTAAAAAGAAGAATTATAATAGTCCACAAATTGATGAGTAGGTAGAATAATTGTAGAATAATTATATTATTTTATAGTATGAGGCTTTAACTTGGGGGACTGAGAAATTTTTTACTTTTGGTATTTTTGGGTTATAAATATGCTTGTGACATGTTAAATTCATTAATTATTTGAGTACAATATGTATTTTCTTTTTGTTCTTATGTGTTATTAGATGCTGATTTTTCAAGTGCTTACAAGTTTTGATGCCAACTTTGTGGAGATAAATCCTCTATTGCTAGTATGAGTTTTCAATTCTTTAATTGGCAATCTCAATGTTTGTTCCATCATCTAATTATTTAGTGATTGATTTGTTTCTGTGATAGAGATTTTATCAAATGCGTCACAACACTGATTTTTATTTTCATGTTGTGAATTCTAATAATTGCAAAGTTTAATATTGGTTCTTAAATTTATTGTGCAATTTCAGATTTTGGTGACTTTTTTATGTTTATGTTTGGAACGGATGAAATGTGCTTTATGATTTTGCTTCAACAAAGATTAATCTTTAATTTTATTCCGAGTGAATGATTATGTACCCAACTTTACTAATTAGTTTTGGACTTTAAGATGAAGAGACGTAATATAAAAAATAAAGTAAAATGTTGTTCTAGGATTAATTGGGGGCATTTAAAGAACACTAAAAATATATTTTTAGGAGTATATATTCTAGATCTTATGATTTTATCTGTGCATAACGAAGCTAATGTTATGTGCGAAAAAATAGCTAGTGATATTAAGAATATTGGAAAGGATGTGTTTGGAGAAAGAAAAAAGCTCCTAATAGTAAACATAGTTGATAGTGGAATCAAAATTTGTAAGAAAAGATAAAAAAATAAGAAGCTTTGTTATAAAAATTAGTTTAAATTTAGAAACTCTGAAAATTGGGAGAGATATAAAGAGGCCTATAAAGAGTTTAAGAAAGCAATATGCGATGCAAAGATTTTAGCTTTTAATGATCTATATAATAGATTAAATATTGAGGATATATATATATATATATATAAGTTAGTCAAATAAAGAGATACGAGTAGTAATGATTTAGTTCAAGCGAAGAGTATTAGGGATGAAGATCAAAAAGTGATTTTATTTGATGAAGATATTCAACAAATGTATATGAGATATTTTTCTAAGCTTTTCAATGAAGATTGTGAGAATATGATTGACTTTAGTGACCTTAATATATAATCTTATTTTTATCGGTGTATTAGTAAAGCCTAAGTTAGAGGGACTTTAAAGAAAATGAAGTGTAAAAAAACAGTTGGATCTGATGATATTCCAATAGAGGTGTGGAAATATTTAGGAGATGAAGGAATTTCTTAGCTTGCTAAACTTTTTAAAATTATTTTGAAGGTTAAAAAGATACCAGATGAGTGGAAAATGAGTGTTGATTCCTATTTTTAAGAATAAAGGTGATACACAAGATTGTGCAAATTATAGAAGAATTTAGTTAATGTGTCATACTTTAAAACTATGGGAGAGAGTTATGGAGCATAGGTTATGACATGATACTAATGTTTCTCAATTTGAATTCATGCCGGGTAGATTTACTATGAATCTATACATTTATTGAGAGATTTGATGGAAAAGTATATAGAGAATAAGGAGGATCTACATATGATATTTATTGCTTTAGATAAAGCATATGATAAAGTTCCAAGAGAAGTGCTATGGAGAGTTCTAGAAAAGAAAGGAGTTAATAAATGCTTAAATTCAAGTCATTAAGGATATGTATGCAAGTTTTGTTATTTGTATTCAAACATAAGGTGGTTTGACCAAGTATTTTCCTATTTCAGTTGGATTACATTAAGGATTAGCCTTAAGCCCATATGTTTTTTGCTTTAGTCATGGATATTCCTACTAGACATTCGCAAGAGGTTATACCCTGGTGTATGCTTTTTGCTGATGATATTGATGTAGAACGGGTAGGAGATTGATCTTGAAGAGCAAATCAAGGGGTCTAAACAGCAACTTTGACTCTTAGAAAATTCTGAACAGCAATCTCCAATGCTTGAATAAACCTTGGGCAGCTGTTATAAGGCTACTGGAGGCTTTTGAACAGCAATATCAGACCTCCCGGGGTGCAGGACAGCAGTTGGTGGCTGCAGGAATCTGTGGACAGCACACAAGATACAATAGGAATTGCTGGACAGCAATTTGCTGTAGTAAAAACAGCAACTGGGAAGCTTCAGATTGTTGTTGAAATCACTGGACAGCAATGCCGAACTTCTGGCCAGCAGGTATTGCTCCTGGCGAACTATGGACAGCAGGTAGACGGTCTTCCTGGACAACTTCTTTACGGATTTGAGCCCTCCTATATAGAGAACAACAAGCTGAATTGGAAGAAAACTCTATAACAGCCTTAGAACTCTCTGGACAGCAACATAAATCCAGCAGGGGCTTAGCTTCAGCAGTCACGGGAAAAGCCTTTGGAGCCAATGGATGGCAGGAGTTTGAAATCATTTCTTACTAATTATTCTCTGGATGGAAAGTAATTAACGGAGAGAGGCTGCAAGAGGAGGGGCGGCGGTAAGGAAAAGCCTTGATTTAAATCTTCTGATGGGGATATTCCTTTTAGGAACAAATTAAACATATAGTCATGCAGATTTTGGCCAAGGGAGAAAGCGAGAAGATTTGGAATTATTTCCGTAATTATTTCCTAAGGAAGAGCTTGGGTTTAGGAAATAATTTAAAGAGGGGTTTAATGAGGTGATTTAAAGCTCTTTGATTTGAATTTAGGAAATTTTAAAATCTGAAATTTAATTTCAGTTTTGATTGAAATTGGGGGGAAATTTAATTTGAAAATTGATTTCAAATTAAGAGGCCATTAATGCATTAATAGGGGAATTAATGATTTAGGTTTAGAATTTAGAAAAGAACTAATTAAGTCCCTTTTGAATTTGAAATTCAAATATGATGAAAATTAAATCGCCCAAAATTAAATTTGAATTACATCATGAATGAGATTCAATACTTTCCTAAAGTAGCTTTTTAATTTAGGAAAATATTTGAAATTCAAAATTTGAATTTAAAATGATGAAAATAATTTCCTAAATTATTTGAACTCTTTAGGTAAGCATTATGGTGGTATTGACTCCTCATTCATGGAGACAAACAAGGGTGGCCGGCGGTGGAGGAGCTAATGGGGGAAGGTGGCCGGCGTTTATGGGGAAATTTTGTTGGAGCTTGTTATGGATGCTTGGTCCGTGAGGTTGATGGAGGAGGAAGAAGATGAAAACGATGACGGGGAGGGATAAGCAGGAAGAAATCAAAACAAAGATAAAAATCAAAACCGCGAGCCTTGGACTTTTCCGAAGACTGACGGGTGATTCGATTGCCCTTCTCCAAGGGACTTCAAATCACGAGCCCGGACCCATCATGCGGCTGGTGACAACTTCGATTCCTCTCAAAGGAATCTCACTAACGCTCTCTCGCAAGAAGAACACAAGTGTCGAAAAACAAAATTTTTCATATCCATTAACCATTCATTACAATAGCTTAAGGCCCTTATTTGTAGGCCCCAATATGAGAAAAATCAAAAATTACAAAATTGCCCCTTGGGCCACCACACTCAAATAAACTAACCTAGGGTAGAACAGGAAATATCATAAAATAAAAGCTAAACTTCATAAAATAAATTATAAATGACAACGTAAATTAGAGCCGTCGATTTACGACGCCTCCTGTGATAGATGCGCCAAATCTTCATGTCGATGTCCGCATCAGATATTCTTCTTGTTGATAAGACTAGAGAGGGAGTTGAAGGTAAACTTGAATTATGGAGGTCAACCTTAGAGTCCAAAGGTTTTTGTTTGAGTAAATCTAAAATTGAATATATGAATGTACTTTTAGTTGCAATAGATCCAATGGGGGGATTGTGACTTTGGATCAAGTCATTAATAAGAGTACACTTTTTAGATATCTTGGGTCTATTGTTCAGAGTGATGATAAATAGATGAGGATATTATTAGTAGAATTCAAGTTGGATGGTTGAAGTGGAGGAATGCATTGGGCTTGTTATGTGATAGAAAAGTACATCTCAAACTTAAGGTAAAATTCTATACGATGATGGTGAGACCTGCAATGCTTTATGGCGCAAAATGTTGGTCATTAAAAGAGAAACATAATATTGAATTAAGTATTGCAGAGATGGGGATGCTCAGGTGAATGAGTGGCTTTACTCTCAGAGACAGGATACGAAACAAGCTTATATATGTGAAATGGTTGGAATAGCTCCAGTGAAAGATAAGATTAGAGAGAGTCGCCTTAGATGGTTTGGTCCCATAAAACGATGGCCTTCCGATGACTGGTTAAGAGAGTAGATTTATTAGATTTGTCGTATGTCAAGAAATGTTGATATAGACCTAAAAAGACTTGGTTAGAAAAAATTAGAAAAGACATTTCTTTATTAGATTTAAATGAGAATTTATTCTTAACAAGATACATTGGAGAAAAAAGATTCATGTAGCTGACCACACATAGTGGGATAAATGCTTGATATTGTTGTTGTGAAGATTAAAATTTTAAGTTGAGAATTTGAGAATTGTGGTCTTTCATCTGTTTCATTGTGCATCTCATCTTAGCTTTGTATTAGTAATTTATGGGTTGTACAACCTACATGCTAAATGCCTCCCTTGGTTGTCTCAAAACAATTTTGCTTCGGCAAGATAGCCACAAAAAATGACTTTTAAAACACAGGATGTGATTCACTTTCATGATATTGCAAATTATACGTAATGAATTTCTTTTTTTCCTACTAATTTATGTAAATGCTCCTTTTCTTTTGTCCTTTTCTCAGTTCTGCAAGAACATTGTTTTAGCTGGAGTTGGAAGCTTGACCCTGATGGATGATCGCTTGGTTAATGAGGATGCCATTCATGCCAACTTTTTGATTACTCCTGAAGAGGCTAAACATTCAGGGAGTTCCCTTGCTGAAGTTTACTGTAATGCTTTGAAAGAATTCAATCCTATGGTCCATGTTTCAGTTGAAAAAGGTATGTACTATTTTTAAGTACACTATGTTGATTGATTGACCATGCTGATTTCTTTTTGTGTCTAGACCTTTTTTTTTTTTTTTGAATTTAGCACCTTATGGCATCAATTTTTAGAGTACTACTTTGTTTTCTTTTCTGAAGCTCATCTTCTGTTTGGTTCATTAGGTTAGTTACATACAAATCACTATGTTGGAGTCAGTTCCTCACTACGCCCAATATCACTTAATAACACACAAGTCCATCCATCTTACAAAACAACTTCTAAGTCAACTACTTTTAATTATTGACCAACTATAGATGAGTTAATCAAACTATAAACATTTGGCATCCCATCAAACTGTCCAAAAATAAAAAGGAGAAAACTTCTCTAATATGCCCATGCAAATTGCAAATCAGTAGAAGCAACCTCTTTTAAGGGTGCAAATGAGTCGAGTCGAGCTCGAATAAGGGGGTATTCGAGCTGAGCTGGTCTGTCAAATAACGAGCTCGAGCTCGACTCGACAAAGGAAAAAAACCTCGTCGAGCTGCTCGAGCAGCAATTCAAGCTCTGTCTGTCTGTCGTGCCCGCATCCGTCGCCAATGTCGCGTCCATCGCTGTAAAACCCGGAATTCTTCATTTGAGTGTGTCGCACGCATATCGATGCGCCGCGACGAACTTAAGTAAAATTTCGATGTCGTCGGAAATTGTCAAAATAAATTTCATTAGATTCTTCTCGAAATTTCGAGGGAAACGATATAAAGGACTTATATTCAATTTCGCACGGATTTGAAGTTAAAATTTATCAAAGTTCGTTTAAGTAAACTTTACCCTTTTTGTCCCTTTTACCCCTCATAAGTCTCAAGAGAAGCTTTTGGAAGAGGGGCACATGCGTCTTTTAGCAATACCCTCTCTCATTTAGCACAAGTCTCCCTAAGGGACCGAAATATTTCGGTCCCTTTGTTCTCTTGGCCGAACCGAAGAGAGGGGGGCTACGGGAGAGAGGAGGAAACGGCGGGAGCTCCTTCCAAGCCGGCGATTCCGGCGATATTCTGGCGAGAATCCTTAGGAAAAGCATAGAGGAAAACTTGAGGTAAGTTGTTCTTAAGAGAAATGAAAATTTTCATGAGATTTTTTGCATAGAGAAATTTTAGGGTTTGATTTTTTTTTTTGGATTTCTTTAGAAAACCTTTAAGCCTTGTTGGATCTATTGTTTTATACCATAAATGGTAAGATTTCTTAAGAAAAAATGTGAAATCCGAAAATTAGGGTTTCTTCTTTTGACTTATTTTTGTATGAAATTGTTAGGAGAAATGAGGGAAGGGATGTTATAAAGCAAATGCAAAGTTTTCTTTTGAAATTTTGATTTTTGAAATTAGGGCTTTTCCAAATGAAGTCAATTAAAGCTTGCATGTATTGAAAAACATATTTCTATGGGTTTAGAGAGGTCTCTAAAGAAAAGAAATTTTAATTTTGAACAAAAATAAGATTTTCTTTATTATTTTATGCTTAATTCCGAAAATAATAAGAATTTATTTATAAGTAAAAGAAAGAGGAATGTTTTAGAAGGATTTAGGATGAATTGGATGACTTTTTAGGTTCCTATATTTGCTATTTTAATTAAATCCGAAATTACTTTATATAAATATAAAAATTTTGTATGAGGTTGATGTTCTTTGACTTTAAGGATAAGTGGAAGAAGGTTATAAGAAGCCTATAAAAGAAAATTTGAAACATAAAGTTTACTTTGGCAAAAATTTTAAATTGAGTTAAATTGTCTTTAGGTAGTGGCAAGAAAAATTATAAAGAAAGCAAAGAAGAAGCGGATTTCATAGGTTGTGGAGGTAGGAAATTCTTTTCCTTCTCATGCTTATGTTATTTTGTTAATCTCTTATGATATTATTTGAGAAATGGAATAGTAGTTATCATGCCATACACATGCAATCTAGTTATTTCATTATTCATTTCATGCTTTGTATTAGAAGTTATGAAATTCACGATTAGAAATTTATGTCACACATTTGTTCATGGAAATATATATGACCTTGTATGCAATAGAAGGAATATATGTAATAATATAGAAAGAAATTGTGCATGATTGAATACGGAGTACCAAAGACGGTGCCAAAGGCACATATGGCCCTTGGGAAAAATGAGGAAAAAGAAATAAATGGCCAAAAGAGATTTGTGTACCTGATCAGTACACCCCTGGTACTCCGGGACGGTTGAATATATTAAATAAGTGAGATGACATGCATTATACATATCTAAATGACATATGCATATGACATCTACATTATCTTTTATTATGACATAAATAAGATAATATCTTTCATTATGACCTAATCAAGACATTATGAGTTAGATAAGAAACACATGTTCCCTTTTGTTTAAAGCATGTACATTTTTTTTTGTCAAATGAGCATGTTTAGGATTACAAATTTCTGCTGAGCGTAGCTCATTCCCTAGTTTTGGGAAATTTTCAGGAGACCCGACTCTTAGGTGATGGATGATCATCCGAGGTTTACCTACAGTCTACGCGCACCGGGTGACAGGTTTCTTTACTGTCTTTAGTAGTAGTAGTTGTTGTAGTTATTTTGGATGGCATGCAGAGTATGTGTAAGAAGAAAAATTTTATTGTCATCTTGTACATTGTAATAGACCTGTGACATTGACATGAAAGTTTAGAGGCGCTTTTATTATTCTTGAATATTTTTAGAATTGCATGGAACTGATGATGAGTACTTAAATTACATGTCCAATCTCGTTCCAGCTTCGTATCTACGAGTTAACCGGGCCGGATCGTGACAATCGCCAGCTTCCCTCATCACCTCCATTGTCCGCGTCTGTTGCCAGCATCCGCGTCAATCGGCAGTTTTGGGGTCACAACTCGCTGCCAGCTTCCGCTTCACCAAGCCTGCGAGTCGAGCAGTTTCCCACACAGACAATGCAGTAGGCATGGTGCAAACATCCAATGCATGCTTCTTAATGAACTCCTGGCTAATGAATGAATGCGATGCTCCAGTATCAAAAAGTACTCTACTAGGGAAACACTTGACATGAATAATACCTGTGATCACATCAGGAGATTCCTTGGCTTCTTGCGGGGTAATGGCATAGACCCTTGGTTGCACCACAGGTCTCGCAACCGGCTGACTAGGTGCTGAAGAAGAAGCAGAAGCAGAAGCAGTAGACTCTTGAGCTCTCGGTCTACCAACAGTAGGATGTCTCCCAGTACTCTGCTGAGGTGGAGGAGCACTAGACCTCCCCTCCCTTGGGCCCTTTGGGCAGTTCCTAGCCATATGCCCAGACTGATGACAAAAAAAAAACAAACATTGGAGCCCGTTAAGCATTCACTTCTATGCATTTTGCCACACTTCTCACAAGTTCTGGCACTTGAAGAACCTCCACCAAAATCAGTCCTGGTTTTCTTTACACTAGAACCTCCAGAATGAGTCTAGAAGCTCCTGGTCCTCTCAAAGCTCTTCCTCTTCTGTTGAAAATCTCTCCTCTTCTGAACAGCTTGAAAATCAATCTCTATTCTCCTTGCTTTTTCCACCAATACTGTATAATCATCAAAGGTAAAGGGAATCAATGGCTGACGTATAGCATCTCGAAGCCCTGATAAGAACTTTTGACACTTATCCTCAGTAGTAGCAATAAACTGAGAGGCATAGCGGGACAGTGTGGTAAACTCAGCTTCATACTGCATAACTGTCCGCTCCCCTTGCACTAGCCTCAAGAATCTCTCCTGCATCTGACTCCTCACAGAAGGAGGCACAAACCAATCTCTGAAGACTTTCACAAAGTCCTCCCATAAGATCTGGAAATCTGTTCTACCACCAAACTTCTCCAAAGATTGTCCTTGCCACCATCTCTCGGCCTCCCCATTCAGAGCAAAAGTAGCTAAGGTCACCCTCCGATCAACAGGACATTGCATACCTCCAGTATATTTTCAACCCTCAAAAGCCAGTTTTCAGCATCTACTGGCTCTCCTACTCCTGTAAAGAGTGGTGGTCGCATGTCTTGGAAATCTTCAGATATTTGTCTACTACTGGCTCCCTCTTGGAACTAGTCTGGGGCTGTTCCTGAGAATGCTGAATCAAATGTGTGACAGCCGCCATCATCTGATTAAACGTATCCATAGTCGTACTACTACCACCAGTAGGTTGTGCTACTGAAGGTAAGGTTGGAACCTCTCTAGCAATGGGATCATTATGCCCATCTGTGTTGCCATCAGTGGCATCGGGTTCCTGATCCATAGCCCTATACAAAGGAAATAAAGCCAATTCAAATAGATGCACATCATTACACCATCCTAAAATACTACAGCTAATGTCAAAAAGTTATCAATCAACCTAATGTCGCTTATACATATTCAAATCCTAAACTCTGCTCTGATACCACTCTTGTCACGATCCGGCCCGGTTAGCTCGTAGATACGAGGCGGGAACGAGATCGGACATGTAATTTAAGTGCTCATCATCAGTTTCATGAAATTCTAAAGATATTCAAGAATAATAAAAGC